CATTTCCTTGTATTCTTTAATTTGGGCCCATCCTGGAGGGATTATTTCTTACTTAGTTGCTTTTTACTCAGATATTACCTATATCTTCCCCTACTTCCCCATTGTTGGGACTCCCGAATGACAGGTCTACTCAAAATACAGCATACTAAATGGCTTGAATTTACCATTCGTCTTTGGGGGACGCGTTTGCCAATTGTTCACAGAGAACAAAATCTATCCCAGGCGGTAGTTTTTTTGTACAAGCAGTGGGTCCTCTGCTGTCCATGATGCTTGGTCACCTGCTATACAAGTCTCTAGGTCGAGGGGTGTACTTTGAGAGCCGTTGCCGCGCCCCCTGCATGTCGTGACTCCTAATATCTCAACGCACTTTGCCCGCTTCCGCACATCCCACTGACCTTATTTGCGGCGATTCATTTGCAATTCCAGCGAGCTTGTTCGATCCCTTGCTGCTGTGAGTTTTCAGACCTCCAAGCACGGTTTTGGCCCGCACACTGTCCGAGTCCCATCACCTCTCCCACCTTGCTTAATTTGTGCAAAAAACAACGTCCCATCGCTTTATGTAGTTTGCACCTGTGCGTGTGTGTGTGTATTTTGCTTGTTCGCCACTGCATGACCGCCCGCCTTATTACTTCCCTCTTGCATGCCGCCTCTGTTCGTCCTTGCTAATCCTTGGAGTAAATTTTGCTAGTACTTTGACAAGCGTGCAAATTTAGCCTTAAAATGCTACTAGGTGCATGGACGAACCCGTGTTCGCACATCTGTTATACCTACGGAAGGTACTTCAACTAGCACCACCGACCTCATGATTTTCGCCTGTTTGTGGCTATTCTTTCGTTTCCAGGGCCCCCAATCTGAGGCTCCGGGTGAATCGCGACCTTTGATTTTCGTCCCGCAACCAGACTTACTTTATGTGACTCCAAGCTGCCTTCATGTTGGACCCACGTTCTATGACTGTTTTACGTGCTATTTTTCATGTCCTATCCTTCCCATTCTTATTTCATCATTATTGTCTACGGGTTAACGTGTTGGCTTCCTGGTCGGTCTTTTTTGTTCAAAACTATTTTTATCCTGAACTGCAACTATTTTATTCACATTTAATAGCGGCTATTAGTTTACCTTCTCCGCTTCTCTTCAGTGCGTTGGTCACGCTGCCAAATTGCAGGTCATTTGTGTCATCAGTATTAGTTTATGTTAATAGTCAGCATTATAAGGAGTAGATTTTTTCTTTCTGAAATCGCAACTTTACGTGGCACACTTTGTTAGGCTTGGAAACACTATTTACCTTTCCCTCTTCTCAGCCCTTTCGTCACGCAGCTGGGACAGGCATCGTTTGGAAAGAGAAATAGATTACATCAGTTGTTCGGTCCTCTCTATCTCCATGCTTATAAGGTGTACCTGTCTTGGACATCCATTCAGCCCTGATTAACTCACTCACTTTCATTCGGAAGAAAAGCAATATTAGCTGGATCTTCCGACGTCCTTGTATTTTTAGACGTTCTCGTTGAAACCGGCGACCACGATCGATGATGAACAAGACAATATCTAGTTAATGTCTTTTGCTCTTTCCCTCTATGTAGAGTCTAGAATACGATTTGCAATATTCCCCGAAGTCCGTACTTACGAGGGACCTGAACGAAGTCTTTGTCGCGAGGGCTTACCCGTTCTCTGGGGCATCGAAACCGCTTTCTTCTTGAAAAACTCGCTGGAGCAGAAACACCTGAGAATGGAATGATTGTTTCTTTCGCACAAGCTGTTATCTCTCGAGCATTGGGCGCAGGACATTGCTTTAGCCCTAAATGATTAGTTTCAGAGCAGACTAAAAGAGAGAGCATCGCAATCAATGTGTTTTTTTACTTTCGCCACCTTTGAATCCGCATGATCTGTCAGCGTCAGTGGGATCGTCACTGTCACGTCGGCTGACAAATTGTAGACATCATCTACGAGCACTTCTGAGGTATGATCAAACGAAATGCTAAAGGTGGATGTCCTAGGTGAGCGTTTGTATTAGTGTTGCTGTGATAGTCAATGCCTTTCTGCTAGCTGCTTTCCCACTCAACCCTCCCGGACCGTTTTTGTCCCGCTAGTCCTTCTACTGTCCTATTAGGACATCGGTTTCATTCCTATCACACCTCACAGTCGACCTGTGCATCCGATGCTCTTGTCGTTTCTTAGTTAGCGCATAACTCTTCGTGGCTTTTTAATGTTGTTCTTGTCCTAATCGTCCTTCAGTGTGCTGACTTTGCTCTTTTGAAGACGCCCGGTCCGTTCACCTGGCAGTCCCGGAGCCCAGGGATGACCCTAAGGGTCAACGGCTCAAAACTATCTTGGAGTTTATTGATACCGAACACATCTATTACCTCGATCTGTTGGAGGTCAAGGAGGTTAGTTATCGTCTTTTAGGTTTCTTTCTCTGTTGACAGTTCGGGGCTCTGTGAGGCCCTAATGCCCTTTGCGAAACGCCTCCGTGTTTGAGTAATATTCTTCCCACTCCTAAGTCAAATTTAAGTCTCTTTAGTTTGATAGGTTCACCATCACCCTGGTTGTGGCTAATGTGTTGAGATCACCGTAGTTATTCATTAGTTTACCGTTCTTGGAGTAACAGCATATGGGCGTCTGCACGTGTTTATTCTTATTGTTCAGCTTCACATGTCATAGTAGAAACCGTCTTTAGACACATGACCACGGCCTATTTTAAGCTTCTGTTTTTAATTTTACTTGAATGACGATAAAGTACTCACATTTGAATTGTTTTTTTTTTCTATCAATTCGGCTTATTTGCATCTCAGATCTTTTCGTCAATAGAAGTAACCGGACAAACTGTAGGATCCTGGTGGTTTTTCTGACTCCACTCTGTTGAATCTCGTCGTTTAGATTTTCTACGATGAATTGGAGCGGAGGAATGTTGGTGCCACTGTGCTCTATGAGATTTTTGGTCGGTGGCCCTCGCTGGTTCTGTTGTCTCAGGCTTTCTACAAGTATGTCTTTAGTATGACAGTAAAACTGGAGGTTTATAACAATACTATATACTTTATTTATAAAGCTATGAGACTGCATATACACTGATATAGAATCTTCACCTATGTCAGGGTCACAGTAGGCTTTCCTGTTCATTCGCGGACTTCTGTGAAATGACAGGTCGCCCTAAGTGTGATGCATAGTCTTCCAGTTCTCGGCTTAATAAGCATCTGAGAGCTTACAAATGATTTCCATCAAGTTACACCCTTGGCACTTTATCCTGTCGTATGTTTTGAACAGTGTTAGGTCTTGTGACAATGAGGTTTGGGCAGCCGCAAGAGGTCACCTAACTGGATTGCTTTTGTGGATATTGATTGTAATCAGTTGTTGTTAGTCATTCCTCCACTGCCAGGTTGCGCATGGGGACCTGGGTCCAGCGAAAAACTGGCTTTGGCTCCATCACTGTTGCCCTTCAGTCAGCCGGTCAAAGGAACGTCTATCCGTAGCTTAAAGTCCTCGACTATGGGGCACCTACTCTGACGATTGTTGTTGTCACTTGCCAGGAAGTAAATCCCTTCAGTGCGGTTACACATCGGCGAGCTCGGCTAGAGCGCCCGCGACCAAAACTCCGCGGTAGTCCAGAAACTCTTAAACCGGAACACGCTATTATTGTCTGCGCGTGATGTCTTTAGAAGGATCTTTTGCCATTTTGTTGAATTCATTTCGAGGGCACAAGCAAGTATGCTGCGATCACGAAGTACAATTGCACCCATTCCTCGTTGTCCGCGTGTTTTCATCGACTCCTGGTAATGACTAGTGTGACGTCCTTCTGCTCCTCTCATTTTATGCCGTTCACCACTTTTTCTCTCTCTCTCTCTCCTCTCAGAGAACTAAATGAGCGAAGGCCGCAGATCGTGAGTGGGGAGTCGGAAATGATTGGAGATATTATGTTCAGTCATGTGCGTTTTGTTACTTCTTTCGCCTCCATCATGTCATATCCCATCGTCTTAAGCGCGTCATTTTAAAATACCCCCTCCATAGCCAGTTTGTCTCTATTGAATCTGTCGAGCCATTGTGCCGTTCCGCGACTGTCATTCTCCCCCTTCCTTATTCCAGTTGCCAAGATGCTTCGTCTACCGGGACTTCTGCGCCGCTCAGGATGCCCGTCTTCTTCGACTGACAGACCTCTGCGAGGAGAAACCTGAATTGGCGCAGCTCATTAAGGCGTGTGAACGGCGCACTCGAGCAGGCGTGCTACCGCTGGCAAGCTATTTTATCAAGCCGGTCCAGCGAATTTCGAAGTATAAGCTTTTAATTGAGAAGGTAAAGCACTTCTTAAACATGCTTTCCGAGTCTACTGATTTACTAGGAGAACTCGGTCTTTATCCTGTGCAACTGCTAACTTTTTTTATAAACTTGCTTTTCTAGTCAAGGGGGACACCTGCGTCCATGTTCTGCCAGTGTCTTTAAAATCAAATTTTACAGTCCCTTTTCATCCAACGCTAAAGGATGGCTTTAGTGATTTAATCCTAGAGTGCACCTTTTATTATGGCAACAACTTAGAACTATCCCCGAATGAAGTGACCCTCGGAAGACGTAGTCTGCCTTCTGGGTTAGCATTAGGTTGTCCGAGGCGCCCAAATCTGACGGACGGTGGAAAGACCTTCGTCAAATGTCAGTTATGAAATGAGCAGGGTCTTGGATTATCACACAATGCGACGGTACTGTGTGTAGACGTGTCTGGGCATCAAACCGACCAGTCCACTTCTTATATAAGTCGCAAACTCCATCGGCATCCCCTCCCTCCGCCCCCCCCTCCCATCGAATTGGAATTCAGGTGCTGCAGTGCATAATCCTTGAGCCTTTAAGTGGTGTGCCGTTTGGGGTTAGGGAGGGAGAGACGCCTACTTGGAGTTACGGAATTCTTCCCTCCGCCAAGCCGCTACCAGGCAATCACTGTCCGACAACTTACGGGTTTCTGAATGATGGGGGAGGGGTGGCGATCCGTGCGCTCTAGTTGAACTTGCCGAGAGGTAAACGTGTGTAGATGAACAATTCCTCAGGAAAAAAACACCAACTGTGGTAAACTGGGGGGATGCAAATTCCCCTTATCATATAATATCACAAGAATTTGTCTTGTCATGCACTTTTCTCTCTTTATGCACTAATTTTGCTTTTATTTTTATTTAGTCCATTGTTTACTTGAAGCCTTTTTAATCCTTTGCCCCAGATTCTCAAATACACAGCAAAGGACCACCCGGATTTGAAGAATTTGAAGCAATCCTTCCAGTTAGCCTCTGTCGTACTCGATGCTTGTAATGAGGCTGTGCGAAATCGGGAGAACGTGGAACAACTGTTACTCCTACAGGAGCGTGTCATCTTCACCAGTGCAGTTCCGGAGATTACCTTCTTTGACCAGATTGCATATCTGGGATCGCGTTCTCTGATACTGTCCGGCAAACTGTTCAAGGTTGTCATTTGACCGTTTCTGGACCCGCTTAAATTTATTGATTTGTTTGAATATATGAGAACTTTGTATTTGGGCCTCATGTGTTTTTGAAGCGGTGTCTGAATTTTCCCGCTTGCTTATCCATTTTTAGGTAAAATCTGGCAAGGAGCTAGTCGTCTTCCTCTTCAATGACATGCTTTTCTTGACTGTGCCGCAAAGCTCTTCCAGCAAAGACACCATCGCTCTCCCTCTTCGGCCTTCTCCAAAAATTAAAACCAAACTGAAAGTTTATCGTGAACCCTTCTATTACACTGATGTGAGTCGCAGGTCTTCGCATCCAAAATTTAGTATCACTGTTTATGTGTTTTAGATTTATTGATGCTTTAGTAGATTTAAATAATTCACTCGACCAAACTGTGAAAATTCGGCGGCCTCAGTGAGATTCGAAACCTCGGCAGCAAGGACGAGGCTTGCGTACAGCCAACACTGGCCACCTGAGCTGTGAGACTGCCGGGAGCCGTGAGTTTAATCCTTTTTGGGGAAAGTTACCCGTCCAACTTACTGCAACGCATGAAACCCCCAAATTTTGATGAAGTAAACTGACTGTTCAAGCAAGGTTTCCTAAGAAATCCATTTAAAGTCCACCAGATAACTACTGGGCAACACACACACACGCGACAGTTCGACGGTCGCTTCCGATAATGACCACCGCGTGCTCCACAGCAAGATGAAGCAGGTACAGTGACGTGCACGTAATTCAGTTTACAGCGAATGTAGACTTTCGCAGCATCTACCGCACTCTCTCCACCCCAATCTGGACCCGATGTCAGGACAGAGTGAAGAAGACCGGAGGCTGGTGAGGGCGCAGGTGGATGGCACGGTCGAGCCTACACCTTGGCGCTCTACTCCACACCCCCTGGTTCACGCATCAAATGACAAAGATTTTAACCAACAACAATGGGGGGATACTGGCTCAGATCCCACCGAGTGGGAGTGTAGGTGCGGCTCGGATCTCACACGGGTAAGAATCCCTTTAGGGCCATATTAAGGAGCCACTGCAGGCTGACCCTTAGACCACCAGCCAGCCTCTCCACACAAGCACACAACACTGTGCCGACTGCGAGGTCCAAGTTATATCGTCAGTTGGCAACCTTCCAAGCCACGACTTTTAGCGGACCTTGGTAGTTTCAAGTGCGTCTGATTATTTATAGCGAGGAAAATGCGCTGAGCCGTCGACCTCACTCTCCCTTCTTATTCCCAGTCCCCAGTTACTGTCCGAGCCAGTCACTTGACAGGTGCGGGGAATGGGCGCGGTAGCTGGCATGGTCTAGTGACCTTGTCTGCACGCGCCACGTGCACAACGTGGCCCCCCAAAACACAAGCACCGGGATTTCGTACAACGAGAGTTGAGCAGTGTACATCTCACATGCTCGAGGGTGCCGTAGGTCACGTTAAGGAGTCGCTTTCGCCTGGCCCCCAGTCCGCCACACACACATGCACACACAACTGGGCTGACTGCGTGGATTGAGTTGGGTCCTCAGTCGGCAGCCTTCCAAGCCACAGCGCTTGACGCGCCGTGATAGCCTCAGACTCGTATCACACATGCAACAATGAAGCAGCATGGAGGCGGAACCGAGACGCACCCTTCCCACTTGCGTGGGACGTTGCAATTGGATTGTTGTGATGGTTGGTGATGTTACGTGATGTGGGTGGAGGAAGATGTGATGGTGTGGTTTAGCTGGCGGTTGTCTACCGCATGTTTTCGTGAATGTGCACGGGCTTAATAGGCCCATGCGAGGGGTGAATGTGCGTTTGCGACGAGTGTATGTGGGTGCTCCAAGCACTGGTTCGCCAGTCTCTGTGCGATGGATTCGCAAGTGACTGACCAGGCCGATGTGTGAGGTAAAGGTGCGATCGCACTGAGGACAGGTATGGACTATGTCCACATCGCTGGTGGTGGCTGTGGCGAGGTGATGTTTGTCGATGTGTTAGGATTGAGTGCAGTGGCGGTGGGTGCAGGAGCCGCTGCGGCGGATGTTGAGGCGATGGAGGAGGAGGAGGATGGGAGTAGGAGTTCAGGAGTACAGTCAATGTTGTCAGCGTTGGGACGAGGCAGAGATGGAGGGGAGAGCACGAGGTTGTGTCATCCGGAGCTGCATTTGGCACGAAGGTGTCCGATGAGACCTATTTCTGCCCGGAACGTCCGCTGGCATCGTGGGCAGGTCGGCGGCGGTTGATTATTGGCCTTTGCGAAGCGGGGGCAGTTGAAATTTACGAGCTTCGGGTTTGGCTTTGTTGGCGATGATGCGTTGCCTGTCTTCACTGCTCTTCACCAGGGCGGGCGGTCCCGGGCGAGATACACACACATGTTCTGTCAAACACAATTTATTTCTGGTAACTAGAAGGACGCCCGCCCAAAGGGAGGTGTCCTGATTGCGTTGCATGCTTATTACTATTGGAATTTGTCCTAAGTTATCTATGTAGAACCTGAACCGTATTTTAGAAGTTCTGTCATTATTTTACGAGTTTTTTTCCCTTCTTTATTTGTTGCCTGCAAGCCCGTCTGATGTATAAATCGGGAATTCTCTTAGAAGTTTATTATGATTTCTGAGGGTTCGGTATATTCTTGGGCATTCCTAAGTCGACAATCTAATGTTTTCCATATCTCCGGTTTTCTAATTACTTACCACTGGTATTCTGGAAGAAATAAAGATAATTTAGCATTCACTGAAGCCTTTAGCCTGACTTTCGAACGAGACGACTGTTTGTCTGAAATTGTAATACTCTTTCAATAAACGTCATATCCAGTTCACTTATTTCCTGACTTGCCATGCTCCCAGTACAGTTGGCCCATTCCCAACTTGATTGCTCTGGGAAAATTTACAAAGTTCTCGTTTTTAATACTCGTTTTCTGAGATGTCGTACCTTCTTTGAGCATGGTGATTGATGGTTTGGAATCCTCTGTTTGCGTCTGCTTCCAACTCTTGGGTTTTGTGGTGTGGTTGCCTTCAGTTTCCTCTCGAACAGCCAATCGTGCCTCTCAAACGAGGTTGGTTCTGCTGGCTAATCATTGGTGATAATGGCAAAGGGGTGAAGGTTTGTCACTTAGCCCCCGCTGTTGTCGTTTGCAGGAGACAATGACCGTTGTGAGGCCCGGCTATGGTCTGCCCCGTTGGGCGTTTGATGGACTGCTTGACCAACCAGCACTTCGCGCTAATTAACAGCTTCTTCTTTTCGCTGTCAAAGTTTATATTCAGATTTGTTTACCAGCCAAACATTTTTGTTGTGCTCAAGAGGGGTAACAGGCTAAGCCCGTTTATGAACCTCCTTTTATTAGCTCTTAAGCATTTGTTGCTGTCTCTTTGATTCCTTTTTTCATATTTTTCCCCTTCATCTAATGACCCTCTCTGAGTTATTCCTAGCGATTCTCTTTGCTGACTTTGGTAGTTTCATTTTTGTGCTTCGGGTTTGGCCTCTTTAATGCACCTACCTGTCTTTTTATTCTCTTTTCTTGCCCCAGATGGTCATCTCGGACTTCATTGACAACCGGCGATCGCGCAAGTCCTTTGCCGCGACTCTCCGCCGCCCTAGTGGTAATTACGCCGCCAGTGTTAGCAATCTTGCCAACTTGGACCTTGAGAACTCCAGCAACTCCCCTAGAAGTTCCGCCCAGCGGGCCAGGTCCACCAGTGTGACCTCCCTTGCTGAGCCTCTGCCTCTGAATGATCTCACTTTCCTCGTTGCCCGATCCAACGACCCCTCCACTAGTGTGCATTTACGGGCCGCTTCGAACAGCGAGACGTAATTCTTCACCGTACACTACTTTTTAACTTCTTTGTGCTTTTATGGCATCCAACGCTGGCTGACATTTGACACCTCCGTCTATCTTTAGTCATAGGCCGATCTTCTAGCCGCTTATATTCGGCATCTAATTCTGCCCACCGTAAACGGCGTCACTTTTCAGGGGGTACTTACCGCAGGTATCGTGTCCGCAGTTGTCTTGGGAGTATTCAATGCCACCTTCAATTGATGTTGGTTGAACGGAACTAAATTTCTCTGGAAGGTCGGTCAGTCGCTGTGCACTCATTCTAAGTTCATCTTTACTTAAAAGATTGTACATTTACGGTCCTTACAGCCTGCGTTGCCACTAGCGCCATCGACGGTTTTTCGCATGTAGACGTGCAGTCGGAAAATTCTGCAAAGGACGATATACACATATATTCACTCAGGAATGGGCGCACACCGATCCATTGGCTTCCCGAAGCAGACAAGCTTCGTATGGGCCGATAGGGGTCACGAACAGGCAACCACCTACCAGGCCGAAGTCGGCCGAGCTATGATAGCAGAGGGGAGACGACAGAGTCTGGGAGGTAGATTGATACAGTACTGTGTTAGACTTATTGTGCCTTCATTCAGCCAATCATAACCCTGACCACCAGCAGCTGGGACCAGAAACACAAACATACGCACAGACGCACCTGGCGCAGTTGGTCCACCACTGTGGTCTATCAGATGGGTCATATGCACTTCATCTAACCGAAGTTCATCAGTTCCTCGCCACCTGTCATTCTTTGTCGCTGCAGATCGGGTATTTTTTTACTCAGGAATGGACGCACACCGATCCATTGGCTTCCCGAAGCTCGTTCGTGGTACTTTCCATGGAATTTCACTGTGGATTACTAACTTGAATTTGAGGGTGTGGGCCCATCCCAACAACTTCATGTCCCTTCAACTGCTCTCAGTGTCCGGTTAGTTGTATCGTTTTCACTTAATGCAGATTCCACCCACGGAGAGTTAATTACGTCCCTCACTGCGTTGTCTTCTGTGAAGAACGACTACTTCCGTTCAGCTACAACATGCAGAAATCTGATGAATGTATTCCCCAACTTCTGTTCTCCGGGCAGGCGTCTGCAACTGACTAGTATCAAGAGTAGGTAGTGCCTACTCACAGTCACTGGTCGGCCCTCTCTGTGGACTGCGTCCTCACATATCTTTAGCTTATTTGGAGGGTGTCGTGGGTTAGTAATGGTGGTCAGCTTCAAATGATCGAGTCACAGGCCTTGACATGTTTTGTACAAGACCTGGATAAAATCTAGCTAGGTCAGGTAACAATGCCACCTATAGTGGCAGAACTACTGACAAGTTGTGGAAACTTGTCTAGATTAAAAACTGGGCACCATTATCAGTTGTGAGTGTTTCTCCAGCATTTCACCAATTTACTGTTTTCTACCTTTTTCATTGCGTTTAGAGAAAACTGGATCTCGACGCTTCGGCAGGCCCAGGCGCAGTACCACTGTGCTGTGGAGGAGTATAAAGTGAAGTCACTCGACGAAATGAGTAAGTGTTAGTTTCTGCCTTGTTCTAGTTTTGTGGTCTTGAAAGATGAAGCCGTTTTTTTCCTCTGCATAATGCGAAATTTGAACGCCTTTCCGGCCTTCGTTCCTAGATCCATATTTTTTCTGCTAGTATAGCAGCATAAATTTGGTATTTCTATGGTTTGCCCCATCAAAAAAACCAATTGATTTCCGAATTAAGACATTTCTCGTCTGCAAGGTCTGTCGGTTTCCTATGCTGTATTTTTGTCTTTTTAGCCAAAAGCTCCTCATTTGTGGCGGCTCTGTCAGTTACGGTGATTTCTGCTTCGGATCTAATGCCTTCGGGTGGCGAAAACAAAGGTACTTACATCCCATGCACGTTTGCGCATGTCCTTACTAGATATGCAGCGGCACATGAGACCCTTATCGTAACTCGCACATAGACCTTCCCACATGAACGCGCTATTTACTGTCCTCAGGGCTTATTTGGTCTTCCGCCATTGGAGTATCCCCGGTCCCACTGGACCTTCTGAAACTTCATGTGTTAGATGTAAGAATCACTAAAGCTGCGCTGCCTACTCTCCCTTGCTAAATAACCATCCTTTCGGTCCATGACACTGACTGCGCCGAGCTGGTGACCAACTCAGGTTGTGTAGGTTATCTACTGCGATTTTGACCATCTGATGCCTTTGCTTCTTCGTCTGTCCTTATCGAGTGTGTCCGACGTATTTGCACCCTCTACATCTACATCAGCGAGCACTAGCAGATCTCTCCACGCTGGGAGCACGGAAACGCCCCTTCAGCTTGTAGACGACCGCAACTTCAAGTCCCGCACGACGTCCTAGGCTGATTTAGAAAGCTGTTGTGCATTATATTACACGCACTTCAGGACAAATTTTACCTTTTCTCACCAACCGGTTGGTTCGATGTGCTTCCTACTCGCGCAGCTGAAAGCGCGCTTCGGCCAGGACTTTGTGACCAGCGTACACTTCCCTGTCGATAATCGTGCCGGCGGAGACCACTCCTCCGAGTTCGCTTTGTCTGAGTAAGACCTGAGGCCGACTTGTCTCGGGACTAAGTTTAGGACTAGGGCTGACTTCTTCAGACCACAGCGGCCATTGCGATTGCGCGTTAGCTTGCCAGTAGTCCCTAGGGCCGGGCTTCCAAGCTGATGCCAGGCTTGGGCTCACCTATCGGTTTATTCCAAGGAGTCTGGCTGTTTCTGACCGTAGGTACTCCCCAATCTTAAAACCACCATGTTGTGGTCATTTGTCTTAGATTGCCTACATAACAGTTGCCTCATTCTTCAGGGATTCCTTCACCCTTCTGCGTCGTGAGCGTCTGTTTACGGTCGCGGAAGACGAATGTTGTCCTTCTTCGACGCTCTCCGACTTGGAATATCGGCTGGAAGTTTCCTGTCGGAGACGTCAATCGTGACGTGGTTACTTTAACGGTCTACGGCCGCAGAGACCACCAGGCAGATGGCAAGTTGCGCTCCCATTCGCTTATATTTTTATTCTCTTCCATAGCATTGGACCGATTGCAATTCCAGTCGTAACGAAAGTATCAGAGGCCCAAGCCTGACTCAGCCCTTTTCCTTGTCTCAGTCAACGAAATTGTAGCGTTTGTTCCACGAGCAATCAGCTAACTCAACTCAGCCCTCGCTGTTTCTTGTTGGTAGTTTTTCACGCAGAACCAAGTGAGGCTGACGTCTCCGTAATTCATCCTAATGCAGCAGAGAAAAAAATAACTTCATTCAGAACGAGTCCTTTTAGATGGATCACGCTCTAATCCGTGTGCATCGTAAACAATCTTACGTTTTTACCTTTCACTCGACAAGAAATTCATCTAGACCTGCCTTGCTTTGGACGTGGCATCGGTTGACAGCACCCTCCTTCGTTTAACTACCACCTTGTCAGGTTACAGGGGCTAGTGCGCGGGTGAACATGCCGTCACTGACCTTTTCTGATTTAGTTTGTGTGCAGGCATGCCTCTCGGGGTTTGAGCTTGGGACACGCAGAACTTTTGTTTCGTCTGCCGCAGTTAGACGGAAATAATTCCTTGTCTGTTTTGAAGAATTCCTCGGTCGCGCCGAAGTTCCAGTGTCGTCCATAGCACAACACACATCTGCCTGGCAGACAACTCTCCCTCTCTCTGGTGTCGCTTCGGGCCGCATTACCGCCAGCTTTCTCTTGGAGTTCCCCACAGGCGGTGTCGTGGATGATGTTCTCTTGATCACCCCAAATGGCCAGTGATATCTCCTACCAACCCCGTTCCCCTTACTTCCCTCTTGCCGTGGTTTCGTTCCTTGCCCAGTATGGCTGCTCAATGACTGCCCCTTTGTACGATTAAATATAATATATTTTTCTTTGTCTACGCTCTGTTGCTGACAGCTGTTGCGTGCTCTTCGTATGTTTGGGTCCATCCTACTCGTCATTTTTCGGCCTCAAATTTCTCTTTTCGTCCAATTAACCTGAATTCTCTACACTATTTGTAGGATCCCGAAGTCGCAAAGGTCCTGAATCTTGCTCCGGATGTCGATCCGGAGTACCCAGTTATTTTTAATATCATCTTCTGGCTGACTGTGACTCTCATTTTGTCTGTCTGGTCCGTTGCCCACGGTATTTGGAATATGGATCCAGGACGTGATGGCATCCTGTACCGTATCACCCCGGGCCGCCCGAAGCAGGACTAAGACTGACCTGTCCTTCTTCCAGCACAATGTAATTATTGATTCCCTGTCCTCTGGGATTTCTGACTGTTGTGATATTTATGTTTTCCTTCTGATCACGTGGTCATTATCAATTTTTTGAAGCAGTTAACATCCTTACGTATCCTAAAACATCCTTTGACTTTCTATTAACAAGTCTGTCGTGCCCTTCATGGCTAATTCTAATCGGCAAGTGTCCTTTTCGTCAATCATTTTGAAATAAACAGAGCAAGTTCGCGTAAATGCCACTTTTCATGCTGGTGCAGAGCAGATTGTTGCAGTCGGCGTGAAGATCCGTCCGAGCTACCTGCGCCAAAGGTCCAGTTAGACGTTGCTGGTTGCACTGAATTAGTTTCGTGGGGCTTGTAGTCGTGACCGAACTTCATGTGCCGTGTGAAGGGGTCATTAGTAAAGCCTGAGACGTGCTTCTGACTGGTGTCGTTCTCCTGACGCCGGAACAGAGAACGAGATTTTCTGTAGCTGAATGGATTTTAGGTACTAGATTTACTGCTCGTAACATTCAAAGCCCTCTGTGGCCGCCTGTCCGATCCTTAATCTCATCGGAAAACCCAGGCTGGAACGCAACTTCCGACTTGACTCAGTTGTGCGTTTGGTCTCGGCCGGAAGCTATGGGCTGTGTGCGCTCTTGACAGAGTGGCCATAAAAACCGGAAGCAATCAACCACGAATATCTGGGAATTGCTTTGTGTGCCGCACTTCTAGGCGGCCTAGCAAGGGTTTCGTTAAAAGGTGCGGGCGACACTGCATATGGCATTTCTCGGGTCAAGTGGAGGCGTTGCGGGTGAACTTCACATTAAGCTCTGGCGAAATACTGAGGACCGACTAGAGCTGGTGTTGACTGCTGCTAAACAAGCATAGGCTTACGTCGGCTAGGCCGGTCCCCAATCTTGAGTGAAATTTTTTCCAGTACTGAAACATTCCGTCTATACTGTCTAAATCTCTCAAAGGAGCAAGATGGAAGGGGTCAAAATATATGCATTGGCATGGAGGCCAGAAAATATCACTCGGAAGGTAGGATATAGTTGAGCAGTCAGTGGAGGCAGTTGCAATTTTAAATGCAGGTTCAAGGATCGCGGCCGTAAGAAGGGTCATCCTGGGGACAAATGTAGCCGACGGCCACCAGAAAGAAGTCCAAGAGGCTCCACACTCCCAGCCCGCCGAACGTAAACAGTTTGCCCAGAGCCTCTCTCCACATGCCCAGGTAGAAGCGGTCTGCACCCAGACCGCCCAGAAGTAGACTCAGTGTCACAGTGGCTCCGTAGGTTTTGCCCGAAGGCTTGTTACACAGCTTCATGCGGAAAAACCTGCGTTTGCCCATGCATAATACCCTAGCATCGGCGCGGCAAGTAGCCGTGTAGTACCTGCGTGCCACGCCTGACTGACTGCACTCTCCGCCGTGCACATCGCAAGTAAAGTACTTCTTGTCCAGCTGGTGACAGTACATGCAGGTAAATTCACGAAAATGCATCTGCTGCTGCCTGCGATTAAGAGAATTCACTGTATGGGAGGCATTTGAGAGCCTAAAGTAGTCGTCACCCTCGCAGGGGGACTGATTTTTCGGCCAACAGGGCACCCGGCTCTGCTCGCCGTAAACACAAGACGAATTAAACTGGCAGCTGACAAGTTCAGCACTCAATTGAGAACAAAGGGGAAGAGAATTGGTCAAGTTGCGATTTGGTGTGGCTGATGGGCTACTTGATTCAGTTGTGGAGCCTGACTGTGATGCTTGGGTCGAAGCACTTGCAGTCAGGTCAGTAGTTTGTGGAGCGTCCTTGGAAATGCATGGTTGTAACAGAAGAAGAACCACCAACCGCCCAAGAAGCATTCTGCCTCACAGAGCCTAATGAAAAAAGAAAATATGAATTACTGTAAATTTTGAGTAGCAAATGAAGTCTAGTTCACTTGACATCGGCGTTTTCATATTTACCTACAAAGAACTTAGTTGTGATGATTATATGGGCGCCAAAGCATTTACACGCTGCGGGGTAGTAGAGTCTTCGAAACGATGAAGAAAGATGGCGAGCAGTTGGGGGTAAGACGCACGCTGTTGAAGGGACTAATATACGGTGAGCCCTGGAGCATCCTAGAGGTAAAAACAGCTCAACCTTCAGACCAGTTAAGGTTACTTGAAATTCGCTCAAACGTCGTTTTCCGGTTGCGACAGTTCGGCGCCTATTATTTAGTAGCAAATTGCCCCTACGCAGCAATGTTCCTCGAATGGATTGTTTTTGAATGTACTAGCGTCCTCATCAGCATGCGGCCTGGTTGACTAGGTCATTCGCATTTGCCACATGACGAATGACTATCCTCCATTGCGATCGTTTAACCATCAGGCGGGTGCAACACATCGTCAAGCCATCGTAATTGACTGTCTTCGTTCGTAGTCACCACGTTTGTACGCTCCTGTGTTGAGAATGCGGTCGCAGAGAAATGGCGATGATGAAGCTCAAGCAACATCGATCGAATGCGTCCTGACCGATCATACCTTCTGGGCCCATGGAATACGTCTCACACCGATTCTGGAGGATTTTTTAGCAGTAGGACTCGTAAACATGCGGCATGTTATTCAGACCACCACAAAGTCAACCCCAGAACTTCTAACAAAGTCCGACGAGGGCCTCTCACGCTCACTTGATTCCACGAACAAACAGATCTAAATCCATTACCTTGCCCGTGTGGTAGAACTATAGAGCCAACATAGCAGTATTTGTCCGCTTACCGTGACCGGATGGATATTTCCCACAGAAGACCTCAACGTGACCGTTTACATCCTGCGAGAGTTGCTTTAGGACGACTTACGTCTTCATCACGCCTACCTGGGACATAGCAAGCTACATTAGTCCACAGGAGTTCGCCAACACCGTAATGAATTAGCGTAGTCAATACGCGTAATGCACGGACACAAACTACCGTAATAGCGATGCGGTCTACCAGAACATGTCAAATAACCCACGTAGTAGAACAGAGTTGGTGAAAAGAACCCAACTTTGAAGGATGGTTAAGGGGACATCAAAGAAGCAACTCTTGCCACCCCTCACACGAATTTCCATTTTTTTTACGATAGTAGGCCTGAACCAAAAAAAGTAATTTAGGTGGCATGCGAGCACACAGCGACTACAGACTATCCTGATGTAAAGAGTCGATTGCAAAAACAAAAAGACGCAAAACAGACGAGACTGAGTTGTTGATAGCAGTGGCATGTTCGATGGTTTAATGAAGGGGAGGATGCTGGCCAACACAACCCAGCCTCTGCAGTGAACGTCAAGCGGTACAGGCGAAGGCGATTGAAGAGGACGACTGCAGACTTTGGCAGCAGTGTCAACAAGACTTATGCTACTCTCAACCATCATGTCACATGAAGATCAGCGCAACAGCGGCATCGCTTCGGTTTGCGGGTACGAGAGTCGCCTCTCAACTTGGGTTCAAAATTCCGTATTTCCGGTCAGCTTATGCTGCATATATTTCTGCCAAAACACACTCCTCACCAGCTCTTTTGCTACAAGGCAGTTTCGCTGTTACCTCGATAGACGTGCTCTACAGTGAGACTATCAACGTACCTTCGTCATCCCTAGAGGACAGAGCCAGCCTAAAATCCTCTGATGGGCCCTTGAAACGGTCGACACAGCATTTTCTTGCAGGTCGTGTCCTTTCAAAAACATGTGTCAAGACCTCGTAAGAGCATGATCAGAGTTATGTTTCCTCTCGGTGTCGGCACCAAGCATCGCGTGGGTGTCTAGCAATGAGACACCACAATACCCCCTGACATGTATGTAGTCAGATTAATTTTGGATGTGATCGTAACTAACGTACTGGGTGATTAGATGCCTCCCTCAGATTCGGAAGCAGATTTAGCACAACAAAGTTGACAAGCCTTTCACCGTTGGCACTACGGTTGCGCCCTCCACAGTGGCCATCGTAGACGCACTGCACCTCCTGTTCTGTCGTTTCAATACTCCACAACAACATGAAAGCCACAAAATTAAACACGTATAAAGATGATCGAACTTCCGTCGTAAAAAGCCTCTGCCTCCATGGCATCCGGTGTCGGTTTCCAGACAGCAACAACCGTGATGATAACAAACCGTATTTAGCACAGCCGTGGCCAAACCTGATTTAGCCGCCCTCGGTGCCACGAAATGCAAATCTCTACGTGCGACAATCTGCAACAAGTCTCCAGAGCTGGGTCCACTCCCTTCTACAGTAATGAAGACGAAACACCGAAAGTCCGAGAACCACATCCATGTCTTGACAAGCTGTTTTGAACCAGTGTTTGGGCCGATCTCTTACTCCTCCAGATGAACTACGACGCCAAACCAAGGGCAGAAATATTTAACTCACGGGGTGGACGACAAAGAACGTGCCTAGACCACCCTAGTGCTCTTTCGTCAAGGGTCTGAGGTACCCACACAATGTAGCTGCAGCGAGTGCAGACGGTTTAATTGAGGACAAAATCAGCGTACTCCACTTCGAAGATGATCCACGAGCAACGGTGATCAAACACCTCCAGTGTTCGCTCGTTGTCCCCACGCACATAACTCGCCGAAGGGATACCCAATAAACGAGAATCTGTGTGACAGTGGCGATACCGCGGCCTGTATAAGGACATCTAAGAATCGTAAAAACCCTGCTTGCAGCACTGGATCAGATAGCGGTGTCGTCCCTACCCTGTGCAGTTGGCAGGAATTTCACCCTGGGGCAATTAAAACTGACAGGTTTTTCAAGCTAACAGCCAATAATGCGAAGGGGCGCCTTCTTTTAGCCAGAAATGCTGATGAAAAACACTTCGGTCTTCCCTAAATTTATGGATAAGTCGACCAACATAACATCATTCACCCGAGACACTAAACTGTGCAGGTCATCGTAACTTGACGCCAGCAGGGCAATATCGTCAGCATAGTTGGTGCAAGTCAACCGGCGGCCTAATGCATATTAAATACCGTCAAAAACGCATATTATTCTCCCGAGAATATGGTTAATGGACTAGCGTAAAATAAATGGAGAATGCAACTTTGTCGAACACCAGCACTACGAAGACGCGCAGGTGCAATCCTCGAAAACACCAACTACCGGTAGAGGGATTCAGTTTTGGTAGTCGTCTTTGATTGCTGTCATTCAAACTGTTGTTTTGTGGGTGGGAGCATTACTCGGTTTCCTGAACCTGATGAGGCAGATGATTCTGACTGCATAAAGCACCAAAGTTCAAACGTGAGGGCTTAATGTTGTCGGCGCAAAAAAGTCCTCATGTCCTACCGTAAGGCGTGAAGTTTTCCCTAGCGAATGGGTCAGGGTGGATGTCTACTAGCCGGTGTACTAGCAAAAACCCCGACACATCGGTCTCCGCGGACATCACAGTCGAAAGTCACGGGTGAAGACTTAAAAAAGATGGACATTCGGGTGTCTGGTGCTTGTCCGGTTCCCCTTTGGATGGAGTTCAAGTACGAAACGCGGCAGATATAAGAAGAGTTTGTTCAATAACAGTCTGTGTTAGTCATGTCGGAGTGCACAACATTTTACAGGGGAGTCGGTTGTCAGATCTTAACAGTCAGAATCCTGGTAACACCGTCACTACTGGTCCGAGACTGTTTACCGGCAGACCTGAAACTGTTTAGTTTGTGGAAGGCCCTTGGTGAGGACTCTTTGACTAGTCATCGTCTGTAGATGCATCGGATAGCCAGAATTTGCGTTATCAGGTAGTTAATGCCCTTCCTGTGGTTGCATGTGCTGTTTTCCTATTCAAACTAAGACAAAATGTTCTTTTTCTGAAAAAAAAACAGATTGACGACCCGGTGTGGATATAAAAACTGGCCGTGCGAGTCCAGTATTTCCTGCAAATAAGACAGTGGGCCTGGCTCACTGGATCCCGGACCAAACATTGGACATGCCAACACCTGAGGTTAAGATATCACCAACTGAAGTGGACATTTCAGAAACATTAATATTTGTCAGTAACCCTTGTCGATAATTCAATGCTTTTTTGCTGTGACAAACTGAATGGGCTCTAGACGCGCGGTGAGAAGCCAACAAACGAATGCCATTTCTCTCCGTCAGTTTGGACAGACGATTAATACCGTGCATATTCCAAGTTTCCACAGCAATCCCCCAACTTCACACATGACAGTTCGACATTCGCTAATGACGATGTCCACCGTGCACCCCATAGCATGATGGGCCAGAGGGACACATACGCGACCGTATTAAGACGTCGGTATAGGTAGTTCGTACATGGATATCGGCAGGGAAATTAGAGTTAAGTTAGTTAATTTACTTGGGCGTCCTCGAGGAAACTCCGACTTTCACACCATCCATTTGGCCAGTCGAGCGACCAGATTACGCAGCCCAGTTCCTTTTCAAGGACGCGAGCGTCCATCGCGCCGTAATAAAATGGCCGACAAGCAACAAGAAAGAAGCCCCATTCATTGACATATTTTCATGCAAAATAAAACTGTGCGCAAGAACATTGAATAGTGTGTGAAGCAGAGATCCCCTCTAAATAAAGCAGAAAATATAATTTCTTTCCCAACCAGATCATCTCTGTTGTAATTGCGAAAAAAAAGATCGAAAGTGTTAGTGAGCTACAAGATTACTGTCTTCGTAGCTAAGGATTATCTAAGGAGTAAAGTCTTTTGTGCAGACGTTTGTACTGAGAGTTCCAGCTCTCGGTCTTTGTAACCTAACGGTAATGAAATGCGAGTCGAAGTTCGCTTACTACAGGCATTTGAAGGTCGGCATATGATTGGTCGCGGCTGGCCCCGGACTTTTGATTCCCTTGCGTGCAGAAAATGCGCGCACCGTGATCGGACGATCGACCGATTAGCATACTTGCTCATGCGTATGCAATTTCGTGCGCTATTTTCTGCTGTGCTACTGCGTGCGGGAGTGTCCCCTGCCGAAATAAATCTGCGACATCCACGCCTCTTTTTTTCTTTTAATAATCAGAAATCTGTTTTGATCCTCTTCAGTACTTCTAAGCCAGTGTCTGCCCAACCACTTCGTCGTGCTCAGCGCGAAGTTGAAGAATAACGCGTATAATGGAGGAAAATATCGGGAAAACGTGTGGTTCGGACACATCAATGACGCTGCCCCCGTTGGAGCTGTGGTCCCCGTGGGCGGAAACGTCGTCCTCGGAGGAAAAACTCACATCCCCTAAATTGTTTGCCATTACGCGGAACGACCTCAACTCTGTTGGTGGATGTGGTGAATCTATGAAAATAAGACAGTCGAGATTCATTGCTGAACCGCCAGACGATCGCCGTTCGCAAGTGGCGCCTCCGAAAATTCCTGCTTAATTATTGACAGTATAGTCGCGGTGGACTACCTTCAGTAATTTGCTGCCATCCTACGGGGCAGCACCAGTCAACAAGTGTCAACGCCATTCCCCTAACTAAGTCATGTCTCAGACGTGCTACCTGGAACCCTTAAGAGGGACTGGAGTGCCGTTTTCGCGGAAGAGATATCTGCGGCCCTGTTCAAAGACGAAGTGACCCACTATACCACATGTTACGTCCGACATCGACAGAAGGGTGGTCCGTTTGGTTCGCTCATATGTGAAGTAATTGTGGGCAGGTTTTCGTATACATGCGCGTCAAGCTGGAAACAGGAGACTTTTCCTGCTGTCTCTGTGTGAGTCAACTGTACTACATGGAAGATGCGTTTTAGTTCCTGATGCAGGCATAGGACCTTGTCGTTTTTGGCAATCGAAATCAGATTAATGAAACCTAACAAGTTTGACGTTAATTATTTAACCATGGACTACGTCAGTAATATCAAACGAAACTGTAAATTGTAAGGCTGGATGTGAAATGATACTAGGCATGCTAATAAAAGACATACTTATGAACATGGGCAAAAACGAACTCCAAATCCAGCACAAGCGCAAAAATAGTAGTTGGTCACTTATCTTCGCGCGCTCGATTTCGGCGCAGTAAAATTTGGCTCCTGACCCAAAACACGAATAGAGTTATTACGCAGTTAAAATGTTTTTCAGAGAAGTAACCAACCTCTTTGCATGATTTCTCTCCCCAAAAGTTATTAAGAAACCTCACTGCAGAACAGCAGTCCAGGCAATTTAACATTTTAACTGACAAGCAACAAGCTACGTTTCCGATAAAACTTCGCACCTCATAAACTACAATGTGCGTTTCTCCCAAGGCTTTGATTTATAATTGGCACTCCAATCATCGCAGCCTGTGATGTTCTCATGTACCTCACAGTATAGTGGGTGTAGGGTCTTGAACATGCCCAGCATCGACCGCACCTCCTACTCCCTTACTCCCATGAGCGGGTGTAAGGACAGAAGTAAGAAGAGCCAAGAAACGATAGAAGGCAGTGCCTGACTAAGCTGAACAGTCCGCATACGCTTGTCACACAGACACACGCACACAATGGATTAGGTTTGCTCTGAAATAAGAAAGTGGCAGCTGAGGTTATCGCTGAGTGGGAGTGCTACACAGGCCTCCTTGAAAATTTGCAATCGCAGCCTGAGTCTTCATCCTGTGCGCTCCTAGTTATCCCGTCATTTTACAGTTTTCGAACACTTATTGGGTCCAAAACGTTACTCTGATCATGGAAGACACCTTTGTTCATAGAAATGTTAAGATCTCTTTTTGAGGATGCTTTCTTTATTGGACAGGACGTAGGGTAGCCAGCCTGATTACAGACCCGAAAATCATGGGTACTGGGGAGCTCTTGAAGACTAAAGTGGATTTTCAACCCGTCCTATTGGTATTAGTACTAGTAGTAGCATTGGTAGTAGTGGCAGCAGTAGTTGTAGTTGTTCTTGTGTCAATATTAGTGGTAGTAGCGGTTGTAGTAGTAGCACAATTTGTAGTAGTAGTAGTAGTAGTAGTAGTAGTAGTATTAGTATTAGTAGTAGTAGTAGTAGTAGTAGTAGTAGTAGTAGTAGTAGTAGTAGTAGTAGTAGTAGTAGTAGTAGTAGTAGTAGTAGTAGTAGTAGTAGTAGTAGTAGTAGTAGTAGTAGTAGTAGTAGTAGTAGTAGTAGTAGTAGTAGTAGTAGTAGTAGTAACAAACGTAGTCCTGAACTCACTTAGATATTCAGCCTTCAGGAGCCGAACTTTGCATAATTTTCTTTAAATTCTCTTGGAGCAGAATTTAAGTCGCCGATTCAGTTGAGTAAAAATGTAAGTCAACGTTTGTGACGCCACGGGTACAACACACTCCTAAAACATTTTAACAGTCGGAATGGTGGTTGGACCGTCAAATCTCGTTTTTCAAATCGGTCTGTTGTTTTTGAGGAAAGTAGCCGGACATAAACACTAAAACAGAGATAACCAGCTGTTGCCCGATAACGTTTTAGCTCGCGCTCTGGATGGCCTTTGAACGTAGCGTCTACACATTAATCTTGTTCTGATACGTTTGCCGCTGCATAATGTTTTGCTGTAGGCTGATGCGTCCGGCAGCCAGCTTACGACAAGTAGACTGATGAATGATTCTAATATCCACGAATCGCATTACTGTTGAAGATTACCTTGGTAGTTGTAGCAGCAAAAGTTCGTAGGAGATAAGTTCAATTTCAAATTTTGTCGTTAGACGCCTTCAGCGAGTGAATATTTTGCATTCCTAAATAGCCCTTACCAAAAGGCGAGTTCGGTTACGGACATAACCGCCGTTGCCTCACTGTAGATGTTGGAGGACAGTTTGGCGGGGCTCAGACCATGACATAGTTGTTTCAACGTTGGAATTCGAGGCTGACGAAACGTCGTCCCAAAAGTATAACTTTTTCCGCGATTTCCGATCAACTCGCTCAACCGAATTATTAACACATTTTAATTCCTACGACTGGACTGAGTTCTTCCTTAATCCGGATGTAAATGTTTGCACTGCAAAACTGTACGAAATATTGGATCCGCTTATTTTTCGTTTTGTCCCCCGTAAGAAAATTATTAATGTCGGGGATGAGGTTTTCCTACCCTTACCCTTTCGTCGCAGATTGCGAAGGCTTTATCGTCGTTTCCATCTTCAGAACGATGTTTCTGTCCTGCCCTTGATTCGTGATATTTTTGATCGAGCTAAGAGATTGTCTGAAGAAAAACAGCTAGCCGAAGAGGTCCAGTTTGCCGAAAATCATTCGTTGAATGTCTCGAAACTTTTCTCTAGAAAAATACGAACTCACCGAAAGACACAGCATCCCATCCTCCGAGACGCTCTTGGAAATCCCATAGTTGATGCCCAGTTAACGGCTGATAGCTTCAATGATTTCCTGTCCAAAACGTTCATTGAAGACTCGACCATTCCGCATCCGACCATCCAGGCATTGACCGGAGCAGTTCTAGACACTATAATTTTCACTCTGTGGGATGTGACTGTTGCGATTCGGCGTCTTCGTCCATCTTATAGTCCAGGCCGTGATGGAGTCCTAGTAAGCATTGTAAAAGCCAATGCAAGTACGATTTTCCCATCCCTCTTATGCAAGATATTTAAACTTGCTCTTGAAAGTGAAACTTATTCTACCTTGTGGAAGGAATCACACATTTTGCCCATTCCTAAGCACGGCAAATCTACGTCATTTGATGACTTTCGGCCAATAAGCACCCTCCCTTCCGTTTCGAAGATCTTAGAGACATTGATCAAAGAGAAAATGATGTGTCACTTAACAGAGAATAACCTATTGAGTGTTTCCAAACATGAATTCCTCAAAGCTCGATTTTGTGACACCTGTCAACTCTCTTTCTTTGACTATGTTCTCCAATCTAGGGACCATGGTTTTGCACTTTACACAGTATATTTCGATTTCACTAAGGCTTTTGATCGTGTTGACCATCCTCTTCTTCTCTTGAAACTGCCCTTTTTCGGAGTAGGTGGCAAACTTTTGAATTTTATATCCTCTTACCTGGGCACTCGTATACAACGAGTTAACATCTCCAATACTATCTCCAACGCCACACGTGTTAGGAGTGGAGTCATTCGGTGTAATTTACTCGGCCCGCTTTTATTTTGCCTTTTCATTAATGATATACCCGATTTATTTCACAATTGTATGCCTTTCATGTATGCCGATGATCTTAAAGTTGCATATCGATATAAGCCGGCAGATCATGACATCGTGCTTAAGCTCCTAAAGAGCGATCTTCAGGCTTTTGCCCAATGGTGCCGCACATGGTGCCTTTCTCTCTCTTGGCATAAGTGCTCAGTCATGGTGGTTGGCGACGACCGCCAACCTCAACTAAATATTGAAGGTCACGCCATAAATGTGCCTGGGGTTATTAAGGATCTGGGCGTATCATACTCCAAGAGTCTCAATCTCTCGGAACACTGCACCTTGATAGTCTCCAAAGCACGTAGAACGACAGGGTTTATCCTCTGAAACTTTAAAACTAGGGACATCAGAACGCGCCTTTACAACATTTACGCTAGACCTGGCCTGGAATACTGTTCGTTTTTATTTAGCCTCATGCGTGCTACTGAGCGGAAGAAAATAAAATCCGTTCAGCACTTATTTACCAAGAGAATTTTAGCCGCGGAACACCGACATTTGTCTTACTGAGAACGTTACCGTCTTCCGGGCTTTGATAGTTTATGGATCCTTAGAGTACAAAAGGGGCTTTTTTTGCTATTTAAACTCTTATATAATCACACATTTAACCCACTCACCTCTTTAAGACATCATGTCCACCCGCGACATAACAGTCAGCGTGAGGTCTTTTTATTTCTTCCTCTGGCACGTACCGTTAAATATCGTCGGTTCTTGTTTGTAAATGCAATTGCTATTTGGAATAAACTACCCATGAGTGTGAAAAATCTGCAAAATTATCCTTTATTTAAGAGAACTATTACTCGATTTTTCCATTCAGAACAACTCTCAAATTTTTGGTGCTGAATCCACCGAATTACTGTACCGTTGCGATGGCGTTTGTGGTCTCTGAACACTATAGCCGGTTTCACCAGGGACAATTTCTTTGTCCATCATCGACATTTGTTCTTCGGCGACTCTCTTTTGAATATCCCCAACTTCATGAAAGGATTCGACGTCTAATAGTCTCCGATACCTTGAACCCCCTCCCCTTTCTTGACTGCCGAGAGCTTGTGAAAAGCTCCCATACATTTTGGGTGTTGAATCCTCTGATCGACTATGCCGTAGCGATGGCGTTTGTGGTCCCTCACCACTATGGCCGGTCTCACCAGGGACAATTTTTTTGGCCAGCAGCGACAGCTGTTCTTCTGCGCATCTGGTTGGACTAACCCTAACTTCATGTAAGAAATTGGCGTTTGATAATATCCGATACTGTGCAACCCCTCCCTTCGTGACGGTCGAAAGCTTGTCGCCAGCAGTTTTTTGTTCCTGAATCCTCCAATCCATACAATCACCATCAACTATATTTTATTCCTTTTCCACGGGAGTTTTTTTCACTGCTGGCCGGATTTGTGTTTTACGCTCCCCTGACAATGCCAGTAAACTGGCATTTAATAAAATTATTATTATTTTTGCGGAGGTCGTCTCCAGTTTGTTCACGGCTAAATGACGTTAAACGTCATGAATTGTTAAAGTATACAGTATTTTACCTACTGTCTGATAATGGCGAAATATGAGGGTAAAAGTTATTGTCTGCATGACGTTCCGTGATTTTCAGTTTCTGAAAATTCGGCCGCCTATTTAATCTTCATATACGTGTTCGTCGAATCAACTCGTTTGTCTGCCATTATAGTGCCGAACCTTAAGTAAAGGAGAGAACACTGCAGTTAATTTTTAACGAGTACTTAGTGGAGAGATAGTTGTGAAATTCCTGACAATGGAGCCGGTCAATCATACGCTTTGGAAGATGTCAGAGCAGCATACTATGAAATATTTACCAAAATCTCAACTTATCCATCAACGTACCCTCGAAA